TTCCCACCACTTCTGCCCACCATACACCCTGAGACTATGACAATAAGACAATAAGCTGAGGGGGAGGAAAAGGATGGCGTCTTAAATTTTAGTCAACATAGCAGCATAAAATATGAGTTAAGGTATATCTAGAATTGATCTCTGGGTTTTTTTAAAGGTTTACAATGAAAAATCTCTGTTTCACATATGGGATGTACCATGTGGCAGTCATTTGCATGAAAATAGACGATTAAGTGAAAGAGATAGAGTCAGGGCTGTTCTGTGAACTGGCTGCTGAGTTTAGAATACCAAACAGAAAGGGTTTTCCTTTCCTCAGCTGTTACCCTGCCTTTGCAGAATCACCTACAGCTCCCCATTTCACATATGCATTTAGCCGTTAATCTCCCAAGTGTTGGTTACTTTCTTAGAGTGAGGGTTACTAAAATATTGCAGTAATCCTGTCTGCCTGAAGCCCTGACAACGTTTAGGCTGAGCGGCCCTTCAGAAATAAACCTATGACTTATCAGTGAGGAGGTGATGATGTGCCGGCTTGTCGGAGAGGAGGAGGAAGGAAAAGTTGTGGTCAGCTGGGGGATTGCTGATGTTTAGAAAACTTGACCTCAGGTCCTTAAGAGTGGGCCCTACATTCAGTTTCAGGCTCCTCTTTTAAATGTAATAAATGTCAAACAGAATTGGTAATGAAGTGCAGAAGTCTTTACATTTTTATATCTTTTTGTATATATACATTTAAAGTATCTCCCACTCTTGTCTACACGATAGAATAAAAGCCTTGAATTATTCAAACATAAAAAAACAATATACCGCATGATAAATATTGACATAAATAAATAAAATAAAAAAACATATTGCCTGCTACGAAAAGCAATCCCCATCAGATATGTATTGTTTCGGTATACGATATATTTGAGTAAAGCTTTAAAAAGCAAACACCTACATTCTGCTGTATTCCTAAAACTTTTTATTTTTCAAATAATTTACCTTCTTATGGAATGGTAGATATTAGCTGGTTAATTGGTCATCTATACAAGTTTCTTTAAAAGATATCGGCGTGCCACAAGCCATCCATGATTTTCAGATTGCTTGCAAACTGCCATTTTTTTTTTATTAAGGGAATAAAGTTGGAGCCTTTAGATTTTTTTGATGGCAATAAAAAAGGCATTTATCTTAAAACTTGTACATATATTCACCTGGGACATCAATATCCCAGTTTTATTCATTCCTGCCTATTTTGCACTAAAAAACATGCTTCTTAGTCCTTGTGGAACCGGTCTTAAGTGGATTCGTGTAGGTGTTCATTCTGATATAATCCAGGGCAGAGAGGAATGGAAAAGGGCAGAGGGCAGATTTATTCAGGAAGTGGGTACTTTCTGATGCATTCATTGCAACACTGAAGCACACACACAGACACCTCACAGCACTGACCCGTGCCACATCTGGAAACAATTACACTCATGTTCTGACTTGACCTGCGTGCACCCAGGTTAAACTTTTTTCATGTGCTTGTCGTTGGGGTGGAGGGTGGGGTTGCAGAGCAGAGGTGACCCTGACACGCTGGCTGTGGGGAAATGTTGTGTAATTAGTGCAAAAGAACAGAACTCTGCCTGTCTGAAAAAAGAACATAAAGAATCCTGAGGTCTTTGACGGGATATACGCGGAGATAAAGAAGATGAGGCGCCAACTTGATGCGCTGCTCAATGACCCACGGAGGAATTTGCGAGGACATGAAGAGCATCTGAATTATCAGGCTTCTCTGCTTCGCGCGCCGGCACTTTCATGTGCGGACGGCTGCGGATGATGCAATGTTTGATTTCTACACTTCAGGAGGCTGTCAGGACAGCGCATGCAATATTAAACAGTGTCGTGTCGGTGTATCAACCAGACTAAATTAACCCATTAGTATGCTACGGTGCAAAGCGGGAAGATCAATGCATGAAACGGTTTGGAAATCTCCTTTGATACAAGATTTCCCAGCTTGAGCGAATTGATGAAATTCCTCTTGAAACACAGGCAACTATTTCAGACACCCCCACCTCCCCCCAAAAAACAGAATCTGGTGAAGCTTGTCCATTAAAAAAAGTGTGACTACACTGTTGCCTCTTACATAGAGGTTGAAGCGGGTTTTTAAAGCTGTTTGTGCTTGAAGAGAATTGATCATTAGCAGCTGGAAATCTACCTGAATGTTTACCTTTTTCCCCATAAAGCAAAATTGTGTCGGTCCGTGGTGGATTTCCATCTTTTATATAATGAATAATGGGCACTTTTTACGAAGGCCAAACAAATAGAAACGCTTTCAGAAGTAATTGCCAGCGCCACAGGAGTAAGAGACTTCATTGCTGTTATTAAATGGCGGAGAAACATAGTGAGAGGCTCTAAACAAGGACGACTCTCTCATGAGTAAAAGCTATTCCATAATTTCCAATATTTTCTTTTTTTTGGTGGGGGAGCAGCTCCATTAGGGGCTGGGACAGAACCACCTGTAAGTTGTGAGAAGAGGTTGGGGGTAGGGGGGTATTGAACTTTAACCACTGTGCTTTCTTATTGATCTAAGCAAACATTGCAGGGTGAGAAGGTGGCCTTGAATGCAGGAAAATGCCTCCTGTTGAGGGAGAACTCAGACTGTTAAAATCCCAGAAACACACAGTAAGGAACACCGAGTGAATCAACCGGTTTAAAAAGCTGCAGGGCTGATATATCGTCTCCTGCCACTCCCCTCTCCTAGAACTACCTCCTTGTCTCAGAGCCCAGCTTCAGCACTCATTTCCTGAGCTGACCGTCTACTCCAATTATCAAGCCAATAAAGGACCCCCTTGTGCAGTTATGGGAAAAGGAGTACGGTCCAGGACAAGGGGGTTCCACAGTAGTAAGTGTCTGCGATGGCTGCTGCCCACATATTGGAAGGTGTGACTAATGGTCTTGGACAATGTTGAGACAGCGCTGCTCCGGCAGTCACCTGGGCAGGCATAGCAGTTACTGGAGAAGGGAATCTCCTCGCTGGAGCTGTCAGCCAAGGACAACTGCAGTTTGTGTGAAAACAAAATGATGTGAACTCTTCAAACGTGGCACAAGGTAACTGGAGGGATTTCTTTCTTAGTGAAAAATACCCCCAAAACGTATCAAATGATTGTTGGCAAAATGCCAAGTACTTTTCCCTCACTGAATAATAACCAGAGGTGTTTAATAGTATATCAGTGGGATCTGCACATAATTATAAGAAATAAGATATATTTAAAATAGCAATTCAACATCAATCAGTTTCCTGGTACAAATACAATCTCTATGCATCAACAAAAGAGACTTGTATACTTGTATACTACTACTTTTAGCTTTAGGGAGTAACAATGAACCAACTGATCCAACAGTCATAACATGCATCCTAGTGATCATGTGTAAAGCAGCCATTACTTGAAAGGAGGGTGTTTATATTAGCAACAGTAAAAAAGTTTGAACCGTTAAGATAGTCATACAGAACAGACAAATGGATCTTATTTAAAGACAATGTGCTGTTGTAGAACCGTCTCTCTGAAAGCCTTGGTGATAGTGGTTATCACAAGAATTACTTAGAGGAATACAAAAAAAACTAAATTAAAACCAAAAAAAGAAAACAGAAAAGTAACATTCCCATGACTGGAACTAAAGCCAGAATGGCAAAGATTCAGCAGTAAATGGTCAGCTGGTGACTAGAGAAGGTCTAAGCTATGATCATATCTTTTAAGTAGCAGCTATTTCAAGAAAATTCGGCCACAAAGAATGCCCTTTTGGTGTATACTTTGCCTTAAGGGCCTGCAGTGATTCCTCTCAATAGTAGATTGTGCTGCTGATAAAGCAACCTATTTTTAACAACTGTCAACAGAAAAAGAGGTATAGAGGAAGTACATTACTATTACAACTAAATCTAACATTCTTCTGCAAAAATAGAACTTTCTTGCCATTTTACAAGTGTATCAAAGGTCTAGTGATACATATTCTCTTTCTGTGTTTATGCCTGTATAACCAGACATGCTTTCAGACTCTACATTGCTGTCATTCCTGTTTAACAAGTGCCACTAAGGCTTAAGGTGGACAGTACACAAAAAAGTGTGCAACTGGCAAAACAACGGGACATGCCCCCAAGAACTGTACATGCAGGCATGTTTCTGCCGAGAGCATAAGCAAGGCAATACAGTTATCGTAACGTAATAAACAGAACTGTATACATAAGCATAAACTGTATGATATTTTGAAATAAAGTAAAAACATCAGTTGAAGAGATTACTGTTCGCCAAATAACATGTGTAGGACTCCATGATACATGAATATGTGACAGTTCTCTCAGAGAACTGCCTCAATTGTTTTTTTTTGTGTGTTTTTTTTAAACATATTTTACAGTTAAATCTCAACAAACACAGGAAATGCAGTCAGGTGTTATTTAACCCCTGCAGAGTTTGTTAAGTTTTATATTGACTCAAGATCTGCATGCTGATAGAAACTATGACAGCATCAGTACACGTGTAATTTGGTCCTTTCAATATTTTCAGTGATTTAAGTTTAGCTTTCTGTTGGACTGTTGTAAAATCTAGTTTCATAATGACTGGAAAAGCAACATTTCATACACCTCACTATCTCTCAGAAGCAGCTTTTGTCCAGTATGAATACAAAATTTCTCTCTGGTCTACGATCTCTTTTTGATATGGTCAAACAGAGCATTTCTTCAACCTAATTTTTTTTTTCTAAAGCCCACTTGTCTCTACTGTTGCAGTCCCACTTCTGTCTAAAGACAGACAATAAACTAGCAGCCTCTGCTGTACTACTGACAATGGTTGAACTTTAAGAGAGGCTGCATATTAAAATATGCACTAGTGTAAATATAGTTAAAGACACACAACTGAAGAATATTTTGATTACAAAACAGCAGTGTCCAGTAAGACCTACTTTAGAGACGTCTAACATAATGCATATTTTGAAGTTTCAGGGTCAAACGTCAAGGCTGGACTCAGTAGATAGCAAATCAAGGAGAGACTTACCTGTGCTGCTCTACAGCTTCATTATCTGGCAGCTCTGCACCGCAAACGTTGCACCGTTCATGCTGGTTCCTGCCATCCGGCTTCATGCCCACTGCCAGCTCACCCAGCTTACTGAAGAATTCTCTCTGGATGAAGCTCTGTGGCAGAAGCCCCCCATAGGTGCTGAAGTCCATAGACATAGCCAGAGCTGGAGACATGGGGAGGGCGGAGGCCATGGACACCGGCATGGACATCATGGCGTCTGATTTGTGATTAACAGGGAGGGAGTATAGCGAGGCGAGATGTTTCTCTGTCATTCCCGCCATTGCCTCCAGACCCATCTGACTGACTTCAGCTTGGTGGTCGACCATGTTTTCGTCGCGGACGTAGTGCAGTTCCCGGGCGCTGGTGATCACACTGCTTCTGGTTGGGGTTCCAGGACCATCTCGGTTCCGGTCTTCTCCGCTCCGGTCTCCATTGCTGGAGGCACTGGACTCCATGTTTTGAGGGCTTTCGTGGCCGTTTCCACTCATGTCTACCTGCATGTTTTCAGTCTTGATCTCAGACATTAGGTGATGAGAGTTAGCGTGGATTAGCTGCTCACCACCAAAGCCTTGCTGCAGCAGAGACTGGCCAATGCTCATCAGGCTGTCCACTGCAGCTTTGGTGGGACTCAGGTTGGAGACGTTAAAGGAAGTAGAGACGGAGGGACTCTGGTCTACTACACCAGACATTTTGGAAGATTGTTGGGTACCTGACAAATAGGAGCTCTCCATGGAATGTTTTTTAGAGATCTTGGCTCCATTCTGGCCTTTACGTTCTTCATCCTCCTCTGTGCTGCCGTCGTTAGCGCTGACCTCAACGTCGTTTTCATCCGAGGACTGAATGGTTTCCAGGATCTTGAGGCATTGTTCTTCCAAATACTCAATTTCCAGGATCTCTGCTGCATAAAGGAGATCATCCAAGTCCTCAACCTTGGCCTGGAGTGTGGCAGTGTAAGCATACTCCAAAATCTGCTGAAAAGTCTTTGGTGAAAGAAAGTCCAGGGTGTAATGCTGGCTGCTGCGATGGAAGAGGATTTCAAACATTTTGCTGGTGCAGGCTAGCACAGTCCGGTGAGCATGAAACTCTTGGCTGTCCACCATGATGACAACATCGCAAAGAGTCCCAGCCAGACGCATCTGGTTGGCCTTCTGCAGCAGAGCGGTGGGATGGTTGGGGTTCTGGAGCTGGATCATACCCATTTTAGTTAAATCCATTTTGTCGATGAAATCCACGAGGCCGACTCATGAGGCTTGCCTTCCCCCGTTCAGGAGAGCTTTTGGCCCTCTTTGTAAACAAGTATTACCTGCAAATAAAACAAATTAATAGATTACAACCATGACTGTGACAAATGATTTACCCCTCACATAATTCTTGTTTTTAATTCTTGATCAAATGTATTCCATAATATTAGATGTTAACAACTTTATACTGTCAGACCCTGCTAACTTGGGTTATGCAGGATGACAAGGATCTAAAGTAAAACTCTTCATTGCACTTGTTGCGAAGGAGGTACAAACATTTATTAGTTTAGGGAACAAATGCTTTTGCAAAATGGGCTAGGGGGGGTTTGTAGGATTTTTTTCCCAGAAGAAAATAATGTCTAGTTTGAAAAGCTCATTTTTTATTTACTCAGGTTTTCTTGGTCTGATGTCTAAATCTGTTTGATGATCTAAACCAGCAACAGACACACACAAAAGAAGAAAACTGTCAAAGAAAAACACTTGTTTTTGTGGCACAGCAGCTCCAAGCTCAACAAGTGGAACGTTGTCTTCCATATATTAAGTCGATTCAAATTTACTTTTTGAATATATCTTATTTGACAGTGAATGTATTCAAATCATAGCACAATTTATTATGCAAATCCAAGTGTGAGGCCACTGGAGTCTCAGATTGCAAATATCCTGCAGGGATGGTAAACAATCTGTGCGGCTGCATTGTTCTGAGAAATGTGCTCAGGGTATTGACAGTATTTTCTAAAAGGAGACAATTTGCTGGCTGTCCAACAGGCTCACCCTGCATACCAATCAGTCCGACATATGTTATGCTAAAAAGATGTCTTCATTTGCCTATCTGATGGGGATGTACACCAGTTAAACAAGAGTGAATTGCGGGACGTTCACTCCATCACTTGGCTCGCAGCGAGCGTCGACAGCCTTTCTGAAATTAAATAGCATCTTACTCAGTATTCTCATCACAGACTGGAGCAGAGAGCAGCAGCCAGGAATGGGTGGAAAAGAAAGCAGGATGAGGCAAAGGCACACAACACTGCTGCACTTAACGCCCCTCTCCGCTTCGCTCTGCTTTGCTCTGCTCTCAGGCGCTTAAAATCTCAAATGAATGAACATGTCTGTTGACTGTCTGTAATTTCATTATCCAAGTTAACAGGGCAACATGTTGCTCCACCTCATTTCTATAGCATGTTTGACCCACACTAAATAATGAGGACAGGTCCAGATTCAATTAGCAGCCCTGAGGCAACATGCACTTTAAAATTGGAAATCTTTGTATTCAGATTTGCTCAACAGGAAGTTACAGCAAACTGCTTTTTGCGTTCAATTGAATAATATTGTTGCAATAAGGTATGAATTTAAGAAACAACTAGCAGCTAGTACCTCCACTGACCCTGTTTCTGTCTGAGTTAATGGATGATGAGTCCTTAAAAAAAAAATAGGACAGTTTTGGTTGAAAAAGAAAATACTTAGAAACTATCAAACAGCCAAAGACTGGATCTGGTGGTCAAATACTGAAAAATCAAAACAATGTTCCTTATTGATTAAATGAAAGTGTAGCACACTGAATGCCTAACTATTGCCCTTTTAAAATGGGTATTTTATACATTTCAAATTAAAATAGGGTTATCTTTTAAAGTTTATCTTGTAATTTCTTAATTTTCTTTGGGATTCTGAACTAGGTATTTTCTTCTATTTAAAGTTTACTGTCTAAGAAAAATACATCGGTCAAAATCAGAAACAGCAGAAATATGAAAAGAAGTACCGACAAGCACAAGATCATGCAAATTAGATTTTTTTTCACCATCGTTCTCCTAAATCATAAACAATTGTACGGCACGGGGGGAAAAAGCTAATTTAGGGCACTTCTCTAAAACTTTCTTTTAATTCTTCCATCCTGTTTGTAAGACCTTTTCATATAAGGTCAAAGAATAAAAAAGTGAGAAACACCTAATGCAACCGTTTTTGGCAAATACTTACATCATATTTAGTTACCTTAACACAATTGTTTCATGTTAGCAGGGTAGGACATAAAACAATTATGTTAAAGTAACTAAATATGATTAAGTAAATGCCAAAAGTGGTTGCATTATTTTTTTTCCCAGAGTAACAGGGCAGAAATTCCCTGCATCAGTTCATCTCACGTTTCAAAATTTAATCAAATTTAAAAATATTTTGTAACTTTGCCCAATTGTTCAACATATAGATTAAAAACAGAGGTAAAGTGAACGTCTCACCACAAAATTTGCACCTCCACAAAAGAAAAAAAATGAATATATCCTATTATTCTTCTTGAAAAGTCCAATTCAACCTAAAAAAACAAAAACAAAAATATCAAAACATTATATTATAGCCCAATATTAAAACAGGTTGGAAGGGATGTAAAATGATACAGGCACCTATTGTTTGCAGCCAGAAAATGATCCCAGCGCTGGATGGACGGGTTGTCTTTTTGTGGGAGGGTGGGTTGGAACTAAAATCGATGGGAGTGAAGGTAATGATGAAACCATAGGTATTCCTCTGACTGGGAGAACCCCCCCCCCCCCCCCCCCCCCTCTCTGTAAACACAGATTATGCTTCAAAACCTTAGATTATCTTTATAACATGTTTGCCAATAGGAGCGATTTACAGCTCCGTAAATGATCAATGCTTGTTGCGCTCTGTGGCTTTCTTCAAAGTTCCCCTTAAGACCGACTTTAGTCTGGTCTCTATTAATAAACAAGAAGGCTGCGGAGCGTCTAGACGGCGTTATATTGAGGCAGCCGCAGCAGACAAATTATACACAAGGTTATAGATTATGCAAAGGGAGCGGGGACTAGATTAAATACATTAAGGCGGTGGAGATCGTCTCCCTAGAGGACAGTATAGATCGCTGACAATGACCATATTAGGGAGACTTTACAGAAAAGAAGGAGCAGGATCGATCAGATCACGGGTTGTCTGCCATCGCGCGCCTTGACGCGCCACAACAAGGATAAACAGCGCTCAATATTCCACACTGACACACAACAAGCGCGGAGAGAGAGAAAAAGAAATGATCAAATCTAAAAAGAGATAGAGCATTTGTGTAAATAGATATAAGTCCACCTGAGACAGAAAGGGGAACCGGAATGACGCGCAGGTGGCGAAATGAAATAGTCGGATCCAGCGAAAGGGGGGCAGGTAGGGGCTTTAATGCTGCTGAGGAGATAAAAGGGAAGGAGTGAAAAGGGAAAGAGTCAGATCAGACACATTCGATAACAAATCAATTTACCATCGCTTCTATTCTCACAGCGATTGATCAATCAAATATCCAATTGGCTGCCAATCAATTAACAGCCTGTCAGAGCGGAGGACGGATTTTTCTGAATTGTTTTGGGAATAAAGACCGGCATCTTTAGCTTTCAACCGTGATGTCACCTTAAGCTTCAATGACTCAAGCTGACGCGTAAAGAGACACTGGTGGGGAAAAAGGAGCGCATTTAAGTGGAAATTGTATATTTAGTCAAATAAAACGAGCCGATTTCCCCAATCAAAGTGACGCTGCGCTGCGCGTCATGTGGTGTCTGGCTCCCGGTGAAGCAGCCAGACCCCACGTCCTCTGACAGAATACTAACCAGACAACACGCACAGAAAGAGATGCAGGTTGGACTGGTTGGTGGGGTTGGAATGGGGGGGGCGGGTGGTGTCGGGGGGGCACGTCAACCTTAACATCTCTGAAACCGGCTAAATGCAAACTTCCACACCTTGCAGCGCAATCAGGTACACACTTGTTCCAAAGCCAGAACTCCTCAACTTGGCTGAGCCGGACTGGCGTCCGCTGGCAACTTCAGCGCAAAAGGTTGAGCGAGGACAAGCGCAGCGAGCAGAGCGCTGCAAAAACAGAAACGCATCAAAAAGAAAACAAAAAAACAAAACATCCCATATGGTGAATGAAAGTACGCGGAATAAACAGTGGGACGCGCATGCAGGGTAGTGGGTCTGGCACTTGTCGCCGGGAAACTGCAGCTGCGTTTACCGGGTCGGTACTCACCTAAGTTGCACGTTTTGACTCCGTGAAGTGCACGGGGGTTGGGGCTACAGCATAGTAAGGCAGTTCGCAGTACCCGCTCTCTCAACACGCACTAACTCCTTTCTTCTCTCGCCTCAGCAAATCAACACGGTGCTGACGTCAACGCAGCCAGTCAGCCAGACGAGCAGCAGCAGCAGCAGCAGGCAGGCAGGCAGCCGGGCGCTGAGCTGCGCTCCGTCCAAACGCTGAGAAAGTGAGACACCTAGGGGGCTGTCTCATGTCAGGCTACAGTGTAGGAAATGAAAGGTGACTGACTCTGCCCCCTTCCAGCTGTTGGAACACAAGTACAGTAGCCAACAGCTGTAATATCAACACGGACAGGGGCGCATCCAGAGGAGTTAAGGGTCTGTGGTAAAATCTGAAAATGGGGACACCTAAGATAGATAGATAGATAGATAGATAGATAGATAGATAGATAGATAGATAGATAGATAGATAGATAGATAGATAGATAGATAGATAGATAGATAGATAGATAGATAGATAGATAGATAGATAGATAGATAGATAGATAGATAGATACTGTAAAGAGCACCAACACAATATTTATTAAGTAAAAATATAACAACAAAAAAGAAGAAAAAAAACTAAAAATGCATTCAAATTGTTCCTAAAAAGCTTTTAATATTAATAATTTAACTTTATTGATCTCTCACAGGAGAAATTTACCTCTGTATTTAACCCATCCCCTTGGGGAGAAGTGGGCTGCCATTTTGCGGCGCCCGGGGTTAAGGATCTTGATAAGAGACCCAGACCCATAGTGGAGGCTGTGGGGATCGAACCGAGTACTTGTAACTTTCTCAGAGCACAAGCACACTGCTCTAACCACTTGGTCAACACTTCCCTGACTTTTTTTTAAGCTTTTGAAAATAAAGGTTTCAGTATTGTCCTCATCTGGATAAGTGTGGTATTGGAGCATATGCTGCATGCTTATTATTTAGTTCTGAATGTTATTTCTTATTCCAATGTCTAAAACTTCCATACAACCGTCTGGCAACCCATCTATCCACCATCTTAGTAGTTTTGAGGGTATCATTCCTAAATCATGACAATGTCTTCTCTTTGCTGATGCTTCATTAAATGTGTAGAATGATCCATTATTTTCCTCGCCTGGTGCTTTTCCAGACCTGAAATACATTCTCAGAATCCTTCCTCTTATCAAACAACATTTTCAAAATAAATTCAGTTTTTGTCAACAGAGTCTCATAAATATGGAAGAGGATTTGAGCCACTGAAAAAAAAAAAAAGTTAACAGATTTTTTTTTTATTTCAGTATAGTATGGGAAAAAAGTCAGAATTCTGACTTTAATCTCAGAATTCTGGCTTTAATTTCAGAATTCTGGCTTTTTTCTCAGAATTCGGACTTTTTTATTGTCAGAATTCAGTCAGAATTCTGAAAAAAAAGTCAGAATTCTGAGCAAAAAGTCCGAATTCTGAGAAAAAAGTCAGAATTCTGACTTTAACCTCAGAATTCTGACTTTTTTATTGTCAGAATTCAGTTGGAATTCTGAGATTAAAGTCAGAATTCTGGAAAAAAAAGTCAGAATTCTGACTTTTTTCCCATGTTAAACTGAAATAAAATTTAAAAATCAGTTAACTTTCTTTTTTTTTTCAGTGGCCCTAATCCTCTTCCGTACATAAAGGCAGTTGAAACAGCTGTAGCAACTCTTTCTAACAGTCAAAGTAGAGTACTTCTGATATTTGCATGAAAATATGAAAATTCACTGTATTTACTTTGTATCAACATTATTTTGTATATTCGGGGGTGATGCTCTCGTCTACTTTGTTGCTTTGGGACACGACCTATTGCCTCATCGCACCAATAACATTCTGATGAGTGAACAACAGTTTCATCTTCTCATATATAAGAAAACTTATTGCTTTAACAAATTGATTAACTTTTTTCAAATATATAAAAAATGGCATTTTTCCTGTACACATCATTTTTATGTGCATAATCAGTCCTGAGTGCTTTAATTCTCCTCTTTTTCTTTCTTCAGTAGACAGATGACCAGTGATGTAATGGATGGTACACCTCATTATTGTTTGGCCTGATAAAACTCCTAAACGTTTTATTTTTATTTTTTTATTTACTAAGAGCCCATGTTAGAGCTGTTCTGGATATAAACTTGATGAATGTTTCTGCCTTAATGCTGACTGGGAGAAACCTTTTAGCTATGGTTTAATTTTCCTCTCAACTCTTTTGTAATGCTCCCTTAAACGGCTCCATATGAGCTCTTATTCTGGCGAAATTTGCAAAGTGTTCAGCATTTAGAAACGGGAGGATTTTATCAGTGATTTATGTATAATCCAATTCGCATCGGACATCTCTGTGTTCCCCAAAAATAGTGTTATATATGATTGGCTCCTGATTTTTTTATCAAGTGATCCAATCACATCTTACTAAATCAATTGTTGATGTACCAACATGTATTGGGTGTTTTTTTTTTTTGTTTAGTTTACATTCAACACCTAGCTTTTTAAGCACAAAAAAACATATCTTTAAGGATCTAACAGCCTTCTTGTGAACATATCATACATGCTGATGAGTTTGGTCGTTTCGTCGGCCTCAGGGTCATATCAACACTCTGCTAGCTGAGGTTGATAAAGTGAAGGATAAAGTGAAGAGTCAGGGTCTGGGTAGACTTTCTAAAGGAAAACTGGTCAGACAGCATCTGCAGTGCATCACTCAGTCCTTCAGCTTGGAGGCTTGACTTTGAAAAGAAAACATCAAATCAAAATTTAGGATGCTGATATTGAATGGCAGGTATATAATATGTTTTGTTTTTATATATATATATTAAAAAAACCTTGTTTATTTCTTTGTTGGAAAGGATTTTGGCCTTGAGTCTCTTCCATAAAGGCATATTTTGCCTTGCCTTTCTTTCTCATCGTTGAGTTTATAACTGCTTTAACTGAGCAACTGAAACCTGCTTAGCATTCTGTGTTTTTTATTTTAAGTTCCTTTTTAACCACTTGGATGGCTTGTCACTTAGTTTTTTGGGTATTTTTTTTACAAACTGATCAGTTGTGTTCTATGTTTTCTTTATTCCTAGTAGGGATGCACAATATAATCGGCCCCCTATCGGTATCGGCCTTAAAACTGAATATCGGACATCGGCCACCCCACCGATATTTTACCCGATATTTGATCAGCTTCTGAGTTTCTAAAGTCTAAAAAAAATATATATATATATATCTTTTTTACAGACTTAAAAACTTCTAAAGACGAGGGAAAAATATTGATACATTAAAATATCCCAATATCTTCATATGCTGATATATTGCCATTTAAAAACACCATATCAATCTCTTTTACTAATGAAATATCGCATTATGTCATCGTTATGCTACAAAATCCCCCGAAAATTCACGAAATTTTGCCATATTTTTATATGTTGATATATTGACGAGGTATCGATCTATTTTACTAACAAAATCTCGCAAGAATTTGCAAAATATCACGAGAGTTTGTAACAGAACAATGAAATTTCACGAGATTTTGAAAGTAAAATAGATCGATACCGCGTTTTTAAAAATCTATTTGATATCAGCATATGAAAATATATTTGAGTATATTATTTTTCAGAGTGTCAGAAATGGATAACAAAACTGCTATTTTCAATGACTACTTATTTGTCCAGCTTTAACATCAGTATCGATATCGGTTATCGGCTACATGAGTTTTAAAATATCTGCATATCGGATATCGGCCAAAATCCAAATATCGTGCATCCCTAATTCCAAGAGAATGGTTCTCACTCTTGTGCACGGAGTCTGAAAGCCTTTGAAATAATGCTTTAATCCTTTCCAGACTGATTGACATTCAAACAACTCTTCTTAAATTTCTTTAGTTTGGGCCATGATGTAGCTTTCTGAGACTTTTTAGTTTACTTTAAGTTCTGGTGACCTGAAGAGTCCAGCAACGCTTGAAACAACTCTATTAACAATGACGACATTTTAGCTTCTATAGTTTTAATTTAACTTTAAGTCTTCCCCTCGCTTGGTCTTTGACCTTCTCTTTAACTTTGGGGTTAGTGAAGTTGTACCAGAACAGGCAGGTTCCAAGTAAGACGTTTCCTGACTTTATAAGTACAGCTGTAATAAGGCCTGGTGTGCCTTGGGAAACTAATCTCAGTTTTGTAAAGTGTTTAATAAAAGCTTTATGGTTTGATAAGAGCTGTGATTATTTAGAACCCAGTTGGTATGAATGGCTTTATGCACCTCAGTAATGAAACCATTGATTGAAAATCACGACCCTGATGGAATAAGTGGGAGACGATGGATGGGAGGATGATTGAAAACTTAATTTTCTCAGACTGTATTTGACATAAAGAAAAAAACATTATTATTGTTTAGATTGTGTCTTTGAGAATCAATGTGGCTCTCATTGTCTTAAACTGTCAACATGGGGGGTGAGGTTGCTTGAAGACCCAAAAGCAGAGATGAGTGAGGTAGAGATTAGTTCTTGTAAGTTTAATGAAAAACTGAGGAAAACATTCAAATACACAAAATTACTGAAAACCATAAAAGCAGCAAACATTGGTGGAAAAATCACATCAGGACCCAGAAACGAAGATCTACTAAAAACAGGAACCAGCACTGAAGAACTGCACAGGAGGAGTATATACAAGAGACAGAACAAAGACGGGTAATCAGATGATATGGAGCAGGTGTGGATGGAAGTGACTAGAAGGGAGCTAGAGGAAAGGAGACAGGAAAAGGGGGCTTAAAGGGGGTTTAAATATAACACAAAATGGAAAATAATCAAAAGATCAACAAAACAGAATTACTTAGGTAGTGAAAACTGAAAATTAAAAACTCAAGGTGCAAAAAGGGGAGAACCATAACATAAACCATAAATAACAATGACAAGTTTATGTAGAAAACTCAAAATGTATATATATAGAAGTAGCTTGTTAGGCAAATAATTTTATTTCTTGTTTTTTCTTGAATGAAAGCTCTAAAAATATGGATTTTATTTTAAATAATGGATTTTAAAAATCAAAATAAATGTAATTAAATTTTAATTGTGTTTTCTTTAAAGCTACAGTGTGTAATTTTTAGCGACATCTAACGTCCAGACTGCAGACCGCAG